TCATAGTGTCCATGAACCGTAGCATGCGTCCCATGACTTCCTGAAATCCCGGTGCTATCATGAAATCCGCCGGGGTAGGCTCAGCTACGGGCACCTCGCCCTGCTCCTCAATGATAGGATCCTCTACAGGATCTTCCGGTGGTGCAACTGGAACGGCTCTGGGATGCCCTCGTCCCCTACCATGGGCCGGTGCCCTCCCTTGGCCTCTACCTCAGCCTCGAGCAACGGGGGGAGCAGCTCCTCCCGGGTCCGAAACGTCAGCGGTGTGAGTTCTCACCATCTGTGAGAGAATAGAAGAGGGGAAATTTAGTACACTAAGCACTGCACGACAGGAAATAAATAAAGAGTAGTCTTTCCTAATATCCTATAGCCTCTCGAAGATAAATACATACGTCTCCGTACCGATCAACAAGACTCTATCAGGTTTACCCATAACTCGTGAGACCTACGTGAACCTAGTGCTCTGATACCATGTTGTCACGACCCATTTCCACAATAGGTCATGATGGCGCCCGACACCGTTGCCAGGTATGCCAATGCGGAACATTTCCATCTCCTAATGTTAATTTTAGCGGAATTTAAGTGAAATAATTATCCGAATTTGGGTTCGCTACCCGAAAGTGATAGATAAAATAAATAACATAATACAGCCCTAAAACTAGTCTACCAAAGTGTGTGCCAATACCTGGTGTCACAAGTACGGGCATCTAGTAGAATACACAAAAGAATATCTCTGTCCTACTGTCTGAGATAAAGAAAGACAACAAAAGTAAAGGAAAACTCCATCCGGTTGCTAGGCGGCATAGGAAGGAAGCAGCTCACCGTGGAAGTCTATGTCACAAACTCAAGGGCGCGCACCATACTGGTAACCAGATGTATCTGCCTCAAATCCTGTACAATTAAGTACAGAAGCGTAGTATGAGTATATAGCAATATGTACCCAGTGAGTATCCCGTCTAATCTCGAAGAAGTAGAGACGAGAGGTCGACTTAATACTCACTAGGGTCAAATAGTATATCGAGGTAATTATACAAACCATGAAGAAACACTAATAAGCAACAGTTTATAACAAGACATAAAAGTCCCACTCTCCACTATATCTCCAGCTAACCATTTACTTTTGTTATATTTATCAATTTATGTTAGGCCATGAAAGGCGATATCAATACTTAAAAACTCTCAGGCAAGCAACAATAGCATGCGCAAATATGCCGAGGCGACGACCCGATCCAACAGAAATAAACTGTGCACTTGCCGAGGGTCGACGGCGCGCCTATAGATGCATCTATTCATACCGAGGCGATCGGCCCGATCCACAAATAATGAGAAATATCAAGTATACACACAAGGCGCATCAATAGTCATTAATACCAAGCAAGACTTCAACAATTATACAAGTATGTTCTTACTCCCCTTTTAAGTCTCTAGCATATCCTAGGTGTCCGTATTAACTAGATAATATAGAGATTTATATAAAATAAGCATGGTGTGGGTCCTAAGCTACCCGGACAATTAACATAGTAGTAGCTACGCACGGACTCTCGTCACCTAGCGCGTGCGTAGCCCCCGCATTTAGCAACAATTACTCACTTATTAATCCTATGGGGACAATTCCCTCTTACAAGGTTAGAAAGGAGACTCACCTCGCTCCAAAGCGCACTTCAAATATCGAAAACAAGCCCAAGTCCTCAATTCGGAGCCGAACGATCACAAACTAGTTAAATAAAGTAAGAACTAGTCAATAAAGGCTTTAACTATTTAAGTAATTTTCCAACCCTTTTCACAAGTTTCCTAAATTCCGACCCCGGGCCCGCGTGCCCGGATTCCGAGATTTTACGAAGGAAATTGTTCTCTGCAACCTAAGGATCAATAATATATGATTTCTAGCCCATTTTGTAACAAATTTCATGATTAATTCTTAGTTTTATTAAAACCCTAGGTCTAGCTCTAACCTTTTGATTTTACCTAACTTTTAGTGTTTAATCAACTTAATATACATGTATTTAAAATAATAATGAATGGAAGTAACTTACCTTGAAGTCTATGTTGAAATGCTCTCTTTGGAAGCCCCAAATCGCCTAAGTGTGGTGTAGAAAATAAAATAAATGGCCTTTGAGTTCGAATTAAATGAACTCACTGCCCAGCGATTTCCGCTTCTGCGGTGCACTGACCGCTTCTGCGAACCTGGCCCAAAATGCCTGGACCGCTTCTGCGGTCTGGGTCCCGCTTCTGCGGAATCGCTTCAGCAGAAATTGGGCCGCTTCTGCGGCTTGGGCCTAAGGCGACTGGACCGCTTCTGCGGTCTTTAAGCGGAATCGCTTCTGCGGTTTCCCTTGGACTGGCCCTTGGCCGCTTCTGCGATGGATTGACCGCATCTGCGGTCCCGCTTCTGCGGTTCAAGAACCGCAGATGCGGTTATGACAGAAGCAGCAACTCAGCTCCCATATCCAAATTTCATCTTCACTCGAGCCTCGTCCGATCGACGCTCGGGGCTCTCGAGCCCCGCCCGAACATACCGACAAGTCTGAAATCACGAGGCGGACCTACTCGAACCCTCGGAACACTCAAAACAACACTAAATCTTGGAATCACCCCCTAAAACCAAATGAATCAAACTATTGAACTTCAAGTTCTTAATTCTCTTGTAACGGGTCAAAATGCCCTTAGACTACTCGGATTGGCACCAAATTTTATGGGCAAGTCTTAAACAACATTACGGACATGTACCGAGCTTCTGGACCAAAATCTGAGCCCGATACCTAGGGAATTAATGATTACTTAGTTTCTTTAATTCTTTAAAACTTCAATTTAATTTTAAATAAAAATTCATTACTCGGGCTAGGGACCTCGGAATTCGATTCCGGACATACGCCCAGGTCCCATATTTTCCCACGGACCCTCCGGTATCGTCAAATTATGAATCCGGGTCCGTTTTCCCAAAAAGTTGACCGAAGTCAAACTTGATCTTCTAGGAAAGTCTCGAAGAGGCAAATGGACATATTTTTACTCGAAACTCTTCTAACTCCCGAACCAACCGTCCCCGCAAGTTATAAATTAGCTAAAGCAAGCGCGGGAAGTTTTATTTAAGGGAACGGGGTTCTAAAATGAAAAATGACCAGTCGGGTCGTTACATTCTCGACCTCTTAAACAAACGTTCGTCCTCAAACGGACATAGAAAAGTACCTGGTCTACTGAATAAGTGGGGATATCTGCTCCGCATGTCCTCCTCGGACTCCCAGGTCGCCTCCTCGACCGGTTGGCCCCTCCACTGGACCCTCACTGCAGGAATCCTCTTGGATCTCAACTGGCGATCCTGTCTATCAATGATGGCAACTGGCTCCTCCTCATAGCCCAAACTCTCATCTAACTGAATAGTACTGAAGTCCAACACATGGGACAGGTCGGCATGGTACTTCCGAAGCATCGAAACATGGAAAACTGGATGAACTCCCGATAAACTGGGGGGTAAAGCAAGCTCATAGGCAACCTCCCCAACTAGCCTCAACACCTCAAAGGGTCCAATAAACCTGGGGCTTAGCTTGCCCTTCTTCCCGAACCTCACAATGCCCTTCATTGGCGAGACTTTCAAGAGAACCTTCTCGCTAATCATGAATGATACATCACGCGCCTTCTGATCCGCGTAACTCTTTTGTCTGGACTGAGCTGTGCGGATCCTCTCCTGAATCAACTTTACCTTATCCAAGGTATCCTGTACCAGATTTGTACCAAGTAACTTAGCCTCACCAGGCTTAAACCACCCGATAGGAGAACGACAACGTCGACCATATAAAGCCTCATACGGGGCCATCTCTATGCTGGACTGATAGATGTTGTTGTATGCAAACTCTGCTAAAGGCAAGAATTGATCGCTGCCTTCTAAAGTCAATCACACATGCTCTAAGCATATCCTCTAAAATCTAAACTGTCCGCTCCGACTGCCCGTCGGTCTGAGGATGGAATGTTGTGCTATGCTCTACACGGGTCCCCAACTCACTCTGACCGACTCTCCAGAAATGGGAAGTGAACTGAGGGCCTCTGTCTGATATGATGGAAACCGGCACACCATGCAATCGGACTATCTCTCGAATATAAATCTGAGCGTACCTCTCCGCTGTATAAGTAGTCGCCACTGGAATGAAGTGAGCCGACTTGGTCAACCGGTCCACAATGACCCACACTGAATCAACCTTCCGCAAAGTCCGCGGCAACCCAACTACGAAATCCATGGTGATGCGCTCCCACTTCCACTCAGGAATAGGCATATGCTGAAATAGGCCACCTGGCCTCTGGTTCTCATACTTGACCTGTTGGAAATTCAAACATCTAGCTCCATACTCCACGATGTCCTTCTTCATTCTCCGCCACCAATAATGCTGCCTCAAGTCACGATACATCTTCGTGGCACCCAGATGAATGGAATACCTCGAACTCTGGGCCTCCTCTAAAATCCTCTCTCTCAAACCGTCAACATTAGGAACACATAGAGGGCCCTGAAGCCGCAACACACCATCCTCGCCGATGGAAACCTCCTTGGCACCTCCCTGAAGTACCGTCTCTTTGAGAACTACCAAATGTGGATCATCGAACTGACGGGCCTTAATCTGCCCCAATAACGAAGACTGAGCGACCACACACGCTACAACTCGGCTGGGCTCTGAAATGTCCAACCTCACAAGTCTGTTAGCCAAGGACTTAATGTCTAAGGCTAGGGGCCTCTCCTCTGCTGGAATGAATGCTAGGCTACCCATACTCTCCGCCTTTGTGCTCAAGGCATCCGCGACCACATTCGCCTTGCCAGGATGATAAAGAATGGTAATGTCATAATATTTTAGTAACTCAAGCCACCTGCGCTGCCTCAAATTAAGGTCCCTCTGCTTGAACAGATGCTGCAAGCTGCGACGATCGGTGTAAACCTCACATGACACCCCATACAAGTAATGCCTCCATATCTTAAGAGCATGAACAATCGCTGCCAACTCTCGATTTTGCACAGGGTAATTCTTCTCATGAACCTTTAGCTGACGCGAAGCATATGCAATAACTCGCCCCTCTTGCATTAATACGCACCCCAAGCCAACGCGTGAAGCGTCGCAATATACCGTATACATCCCTGATCCGGATGGCAACACAAGCACTGGTGCCGTAGTCAAAGCCGTCTTGAGCTTCTGGAAGCTCTCCTCACAATCGTCGGACCAACGGAATGGGGCACCCTTCTGGGTCAATTTGGTCAAAGGTGATGCAATGGATGAAAAGCCCTGCACAAATCGTCGATAATAACCTGCTAATCCCAGGAAACTCCTGATCTCGGTCACTGAAGTAGGACGTGGCCAATTCTGAACTGCCTCAATCTTCTTGGGATCTACCTTAATAACCTCTCCTGACACAACATGCCCCAAGAATGCCACTGACTCAAGCCAAAACTCACACTTGGAGAATTTAGCATATAGCTTCTGTTCTCGCAAGGTCTGAAGCACTACTCTTAAATGCTGCTCGTGCTCCCCCAGGCTACGTGAGTATATCAAGATGTCGTCAATGAAGACGATAAACAAAGGATTCAATATAAGGCCTGAATACCCTGTTCATCAGATCCATAAATG